CCGACCGAGTGAGGCTCTCCAATCATGATCCCGTCCGCGATGCTGTTGGGGACACCCGCCAGCTGGCACGCTCGACTCGGACAAGCAAAATGCGGAGCCTATGCAGCCGGCAACAAGACATTAAGGCGGACTTGAGCTCGGAGCAACAATTTCTTGTTGAAATCGCGTCCGAAAAGGGAGTATCGTCATGGTTGACTGTTGCCCCGCGGTGGCAAGATGGAACCATCCTGAAGAAATCCGACTTCCGTGATGCCCTGTGCATCCGCTATGGGCGAAGGTTGAGTGGGCTACCCGATTCATGTGTTTGTGGTGTGCCTCTCAGCCCCGCTCATGCACTTACCTGTGCCACTGGCGGCTATACCATTGCCCGTCACAATGAGGTGCGGGACTTGGTTGCTGGACTACTGAGGGAGGCTGGAGTGGTGGACGTAGAGACGGAGCCCCGGCTATTGCCCTGCAGCAGTGAGCATTTGCCTGGTGGTCGTTCCCTCAACCGATGCGCAGAAGCTCGTCTGGATGTGCGGGCTCGCGGCTTTTGGTCGTGGCAACAGGACGCTTACTTTGATGTGCGGATCACTCATCCCGCAGCGTCTGTGTTGTCTCGATCACAAGCCCTGAGTCAGCTGAAGTCTCACGAGCGAAACAAGAAAAATCAATACGCCAGCCGTGTGGTTAACGTGGAGCGCGGCTCCTTCACGCCACTTGTGTTCTCGACGTACGGCTTTAGTGGCCCAGAAACTACTCAATTCCTGAAATCATTGGCCTCCCTGTTTGTTGAGCGCCATACTGAACTGAAGTACCCACTAGTAATGGGCATACTACGCACCCGTTTGTCTTTCTGCTTGCTGCGATGGGCAGTCACCTGCTTCCGCGGTTGCCGCGGTTCGTACGGCAAGAGGCGACAGCCGAACTCATTTCTGGCCCAGTGCCGCCAGGCGGAGTAGGGTGCTGCCTTTGGCCTCAACTTAATATAATGCCATTTGGTTTTTCCCCTTTTATTACTCTGTGTTCATTGCTTGTTTTTGTATTGATTTACTTCCTTGAATGCTTTTGTGTTTCATCATTTTCCGGTTGGTTTTGTGTTGATTTCCCCTGTTCACTTTACATATTGTAATGATATACATTTGCTTTGCCCGTAAAAGAGGCTTTTCTCATGATGATGATGATGATGATGATGATATGCCAATCAGCCTCCTACATCCTAGAACCGCTAGTTGCCATGCTCGCACTGCATCTCGAATCCTGTCGGAGAGTTCTGTGGAGAGTGATGATGATGCCAAGTCATGTTCATCCAGTCGCACAGAAAAATCACCAGCACCCACTGCTTCGTCACGTCCCCATGGCTCGGCTGTGCATACTATGTCCACTGGTGGCCCACAGTCTACTGGTACTTCACCGCTGCAGGAATTTGCTGGTGTTTCCTCCTCTCTCACATCTGGCGCCACCCTCAAATCACCTCTTGCTGCTGAGCCTTCTCCTGTGGCTGATGCTTCCAATGCTGCTTCATATTTGGGTAATGCAGCTGATAAGCCATCTTTGGTTGCCTCTGCACCTGAATATGTCCGGTGCCAGATTTGCAATGTGGCCGACCACAAGGTGTGCCGTACTTGTCGAGTTTGCGGAAAGCTGTATCACCACATGTGCCAGTCAGAAGATGAAGATGGCAAGAGATGTGACGACTGCTTTTTGTCACTCAAATTTTAGTTTCTATTTTGCACCACAGTTTTCTGGCTAACCTACCATACATGTACATGTAACTCTCCTCCCACTATTGATGTGTCAGTCCAATTTTGAAATACTTATTGTGAACTCAGATCACTTTGCATTTTGCGGCATTCATGAGTTGCTGTCTACCATTCATGCATGCTGTGCATTACAGCTGTAAATGTAATGAAATACAATGTACATGTCACGTACAACAGCTGTCCTGTACCATGTGTACACTACTAACCTCTTATCCAGCACACGCACTTACTTCTGAAGTAGATATATTTCACCATTGAATCTCTTTTCAACATGATTTCCGTGAATTCCGTTATAACATATTTTTTATGTTATAATGAGGGAATCAAGAATATCTTGCTCCTTAGTCACAGCAACCAGAAACGCTCAGAAAAGGTGAAAAAAGTGAAAAATTCCAGTACACAATAAAGTTATGTAGACTTTCGTTTAATACATAAACCCCGTTAATACATAACATTTGTCAGGTCCCAGAGATTATGTATTAACGAGGGACGACCTGTATTATGATTAGTGACGGCTCATCTCCCGATTATTTACTGCTCTGCGGCAAATGCTGAAGTTTAGACCACTGCATGCTTCGCTTCACCCTTGTGCAATAGGACATTCATTCCGTAGGGGATACGAAACATGCAATAATTACAAAGCGCGACAAACGGAGTACGGAGTGTACTTTTGTATTGTTACTACAGTTGAACATCGATTATCCGCACATCGACTATCCGACCATTCGATTATCCGTAACAGTTTTTTTGGGCGCACGTGCCGTAGAGTACGCACTGTGCATGTAGTGAGCCATTCAAAAAATACGAAACTTTTGAAAAGTAAAAAGTAAAAAGGTCGTGCGGCTAGTAATAACCACTGAAAGTGTGTGAGTGACAGTTTTTTCTTATCCAGAACATTTGCCTTATCTGAACACCGCCTGACAGTTGTCTGCCCAGAGGTGGTCGGATAATCGATGTTCAACTGTACTCCTAATACTACTGTGTACATCAGGGGTGTTGGTAGGTATTTTAGTGTGGTACGGGCAGCCCTCTGAAGTACAATTTACTCGTGGAGGAGTGGTGGCTGAGCCGAAATGTTTTGAAATTTAGAGCCCAAATCAGTGCATTTTATTGATTGACGGGGCACTCGGGGCAAATAGTGGTACGGTCAATACAGTAGTGACCGTAGAGTGTGCGATGCCGTCTGTGTGTATGAACTACACACTGACGGCGTCGGGCCTAGTTCCAATCCCGAATTGCTTTTGGTTAGTTTGGGGTTCAATGTCCTTCGTTTTACTAGGTTCGCATTTGTATTGCAATTCCATTCATTGCTTTTATTTTGCCTTTATAAAAAGAGGGTCTTGGGTGGACAAATGAGTAGAAATATCCGGCAATGCACACAAGTGTTGTATGATAAACAAGAAGACGTGTGCATGTGTGAGTACACTAACAAAACGTGCGTGAAATCGAACACGGGTCCACGTTACACTGACCGAATACTGCGCGGTACACATTAATGCGGAACATCGTCACGTGGCGTACTTCCATTAAAGACCGTAATTGCGAAACACATCTAGAATCTCTGTGAAGCTCATCATGGAAACCCACGAGTTTACAGCAATTTACTGCTAACAAGAGTCCATAACCCCAAGAGTGTGCAACTGGGGTCAGGCTGCTGTAGGCCCGCTGCACGGCGGAATTCCAAAATTACGTCATGCCGCTGAGGCGCAGAGGACAAAACTCCGCATTCCGGGGTGCTTGGAACCAGGGAGTAATACAAGCGCAACGAACGTGTGCGTCATTTTGACGTAGTGTTGGAATTCCGCCGCGCCGATCCCCATGTACAGAGTTGCACTCTTGCTACAAGCACTGTTTTTGTTGTCCAATGAGTTGGTGGCCATTGTTCAATGTGGTCAATCATACCATGTAATCATTTTGCAGCGAAGTTGACCAGGTCATGTGACCACTTTGCAGTGAGGTGCACAATATCATGTGACCACTGTGCAGTGGGGTCCACCATGTCATGTGACCACTGTGCAGTAAAGTCCACAATATCATGTGACCACTGTGCAGTGGGGTCCACCATGTCATGTGACCACTGTGCAGTGAAATCGAAAAATGTCAGATGTCCTGTCCGGTCATCTTTGCCCAGTGCACATCCTGCTAGCACCCATGGTAGTATGATGGTACCAGGGCTGCCACTTGCTCCGATTTTTCGGAAATCGTCATATTTTTGATCGCCTGTCCGACAAACCGCGACCGATTTTGTTCCCCAAGAGGGACAACCGATTATTTTATTTTGAGCGCTTTTAGTCCAGTTGGCTACGAGAGAGCTTGGAAGCTCAGGGCCCTACGCTATGCTTTTTTGCCTTGATGACCTAGACAAAAAAAGCATACGGATGTTATAAATTCATATAAATTTTTCCTTTTTTTTTTAAAGACATAACCTGGGATTCGAACCCGCACTATCGCCGTGCATGCATCCCCCGATACACTTCGCACACAAACTAATTCTTCCAAGTTGCTTCACGTTATGATCTTGCATTTGAAAGCCCTATTTGAATATGCATTGTGGCCAGCCGTCTTTGATAGCACGGTACGGTACGGGACAGGTACGGGACAGGTACGGTCGAGGGTAATACGACACCGTCTACCGCCTTGATGACCCAGGCAAAAAAAGCATAGAGATGTTATAAATTTTTCAATTCTCCTATTTTTTTAGCATAACCTCGGATTAGGACCCGCACTTTCGCCCTACATGCATTCTCCCATACACTTCGCATTCATACTCATTCTACCAAGTTGCTTCACGTTATGATCTTGCGTTCGAAAGCCCTATTTGAATATTGCGCCCAGCTGTATGTGGCCAGCTGTGTTTGATGGTACGGTATGGTACGGGACAGATACGGGATAGCGCCGGGCGTGACACAAACACACAAACACCAAATTAAAGCTGTGTGGACCCTGGCTAGCGCCAGACGTTACTGAAGTAACGTCTTCTGCATAGCTACGGGAATTAATTCATAATTGACATGGTTGTAGTATGTGTGCTGGACAGTTAAAAATGTATTCTGGGGCCACAACAGCAAGCCATTTTTTTCTAAAAAAATTCACCGCGGTGGCCCTGCCCCCTGCACCCCCGGACCACCACGACAGATTTTTCTCCCTCCAAGTGTGGCAGCCCTGTGGTACCCATGGCAGAACACACAACCCATCGACCCTAATACAGTAACAGAGCATTCCAGCGGTTTGCCTCTGTGTGTTGCCTATGTACAGGCGGTCAAGTATGGCAGTCTGGGTTCGGTGCTCGGCCGTGAGCTCATGCACGGCTTCGACAACACAGGTAGCCAGTTTGACAAGGACGGTAACCTGCGCAGCTGGTGGCCGCAGAACGTGCGCAAGGCGTTCAACAACCGCACGCGGTGCATCGCACGGCAGTACAGCGATTACACGGCGGACGGGCAACGCGTCGACGGGAATCTGACGCTGGGCGAGAACATTGCGGACCACGGCGGGATGCGCGTGGCGTTTCACACATACCGTGCGCAGAGCCAGGTTCAGCAGGACACGACTGCTCCGCTACCCGGCCTGCAGCACATGACCAACGATCAGCTGTTCTTCCTGTCCTACGCACAGTTCTACTGCTCCAATAGCTTGAAGCAGTACGAGCAGGCGTTGCTTCTCAACGACGAGCACGCCCCGGACAGGATCCGCGTCCTCGGCACTCTCTCCACATCGCAGCCGTTTGTTGATGCCTGGAAGTGCGGGTCCGGCTCGAGAATGAACCGCGCCAACAAGTGTCCCCTGTGGTGAGAGCGCCGAGTGAGCGACTCAGCACTGTAACCGGCCAAGTGAGCGAGTGATTGCAGGTCTTGTTTTACAAGTCTTAACTCCGTGTGTTCGCATTTGTCTCTAGCCCTCCCTACACCACGCATCCTGAGTGAATGTGTGTGTGTGTGTGTGTGTGTGTGTGTGTGTGTGTGTGTGTGTGTGTGTGTGTGTGTGTGCGTGTGTTTCACGAAAGCCACAAGCTTCCATATGCTTAGGTGTGTAGTGATGGCAGTAGAGTGGCAGTGGGGTGACATTCGAAAAGGTCGTACGACCATAGGACTTGGAGTCATCCCTGTTCAGGTACAGCTACATCCGGCTAGCTATAGGCATTTAAAGAAAACCTGCCGGGATTGATCTTAATAATTACTGTATAGCAGGAAAATTTCGGACGGAATTTATTTTCGTACGATTTCGTACACGGCCTCTTTTGTACTAAAATTAATTCCGTGCTAAAATTTGTTCATGTGAAATTATGTACACTATACATGCGTACTGCAGGGAAACACGTGTGTTTAGCATGCAGCACTGTACGAAAATAGAATCAGTACGAAAGGTCGAAATTTGGCTTTGTCCGAAAATATTTCCGTCCGAAAATTTCCTGCTATACAGTATTATTAAAATGCATGCCCAGAGCAACCATGCCGTTATCTGCCAGTCCATGGCACGTGCTTTCTTGTGCGTGCCCACAGCAGCCCTGCCTTTATCTACTCGCCCATGACAACCTTGCCTTTATCTATCAGTATCCATGCTTTTAGGCACATGCCCTTGGCATGAGCTTTTATGTATCCATCCATGGCAACTGTGTTTTATGTGCGTGCCCGTGGCAACCTTGTTTTTTGAATATCTACTCATGTAAACCTATCATGCTAGTCTAGTGGTGTGATGTATGTGGTACATGCTCTTGCAATGCTTTGCATTCTTTTGCTTTTTTTAGTTTAGTGCAGTTCCATGTGGTTATTGCCGCTACAATGATAATAATTATGTGATAATGCATTGCAAAGGAACTGCTGATGTGTATTGTAGAAGACCTATTAGAAAGCGTGCCATGCGCCTCTCTGGACAGATGCTGTTGATGTTGAGGTATACATGTCAAGATGTGTGTGTGTGTGTGGGGGGGGGGGGGGGGGGGGTGCGGGGTGCGTGCATGTATGGTGGTGGTGGTTTGGGGGGGGGGGGGAGGATGTAAGTGGTGAATAGCGCTTGAAAATGTTTCCTTGCTGACCAGTGTCGTGGCAATGCTGACTTTTTGGGGTTTCGCTCACAGCAGGGTAAAAATCCAGCACTGCACTGGGCCCTCCCGGCTTGGGACCCGTGCCCACTCCTGGTTCAGAAAGATCTTCATCTGCATGGAATACACAGGATCCACACACCACACATCACATACGGCGTACATGTTCATGATTTTCTCTCTCTCTCTCTCTCTCTCTCTCTCCCTCTCTCTCTCTCTCTCTCTCTCTCTCTCTCTCTCTCTCTCTCTCTCTCTCTCTCTCTCTCTCTCTCTCTCTCTCTCTCTCTCTCTCTCTCTCTCTCTCTCTCCCTCCCTCCCTCCCTCCCTCCCTCCCTCCCTCTCTCTCTCTCTCTCTCTCTCTCTCTCTCTCTCTCTCTCTCTCTCTTTCTCTTTCTCTGGCACTTCGCATTTAATTAGAGAATGAGACCGCGTGTGATATGGCGATACGGCCAGCTGGGTAGTCACATGCCATGCGAAAGCAACGAGTTGTCTCTCCTCTTCCGAGTCCTCATTTTCTGGCTAACACAGCGCGGAACTCTTGATCTGGCTTGTCATTGCGTGCTTACAGTACGCTCGGGGCCCGAAATCGAATAGCAACGACATGCTGAATACACTTGCGCAACACAACACCCTCTCGCAGACCCCAGCACACCAGATACTGTGATACAACAGTTCTTTACAGTGTCTTGCCAAACCTACTGAAAATCGAAAGTTGGCTAATGTACAGCAGATACCAGTCAGAATAGTGAGGCACGATCTAGACAGCCAGATATCACACCCACATGTAAGCGTTAGATGTAACAGAAGTTTGAAAAAGTCTCTTATACGAGCAATCATAGAACATGGAACTAGTATCACAGGTCAGGCACAACCACCAACGAAAATGGAAAACAAAATTCTTTTTCACCGAAAAAATAAAAACTTGACAATCTGCACACAACACGATGTATTAGATGATTATACTGAGCTTGTATACAAACTCCCATCTCTCCCCACACAACACTCCAGACTTGTATTTTGCATATAACAGGTACTTCGATGACGAGAATATAAACTGGTATATAAACTGGTATATAAACTGGTGTATAAACTGGTATATAAACTCCTTTTTTTTTAGGATTACACTAGTGACCTGCAGTCCGCCTTGATGGTTTTTCGACATGCACGACGGTCCCAACTTCAGGATCTCTTTCCCGTCAACGATGAAGAATACAACGTCGTCCTTTGTAACATGTGCCTTGTGCTGCACCTGGCGTTCGAGGCTGTCCTTCTTTCGCTGTTTCAGCACTCCGTCTGTCAAGCGCAGCACTCGACATGTGCGGCTGAAGAGCCCCGCGTGCCGCTCCTCCTGCGTTTTTGCATGGACATAGAATGCAGATAGCAGGGGCGACGGAACTTCACTACTGATGGTTTTCCAATCGATGTTCTCCTTTCCGCGTCCCTCGCAGAGCGGACGGAACATGCGCAGCCATAATCCGTGGCACTGCCAGTGTTCTTAGAAACTGCTGCTTGAATAATGGCATCGTGATTCGTGGTCGTCCTCAGAAGAAACGTTTGGGAGACGATTCAACAGGCTCGTGCTGATTCATTTTACTCTTACTTTGGAAAAGAGACGAACTCTATGACTAAAGTCTAATGAGCAAACGGTTCTTTTACAGAGCCCGCGGTGAGATCTGCGCGCGGTAACGGTCACTAGCACTGTGAGGTTCAAACTACCTTACTTGGCGCATAGCTGTTACTTCCGATGTAACTAGTACTTCAGTACTAAACTGAAGTCACAAAGAGTGTGTGATGGTACTGCACTAGCACTGCATGCACTGCACAGAGTCAGTGGTAGTCTTGTACTTGATCCGCACAGGTTGGTGAAAGGAAGACTCGTCGAGCCATGGTTGTGGGTTGGAATTCCAATCTCTACCCTTGTGGGGGAGAGGGGAGTTTGTATATCAGCTCAGTATAAGCATAATATAACCTACTCAGTTGATTATATGGGAAATATAAACCAATATACAAACCTCGGCTTCGCCTCGGTTTGTATACAGGTTTATATTTCCCATAATCAACTGGTTAGGTTATATTATATACGTACACTCAGCTGCCGGCTCAACTAAAGTCACTCGTGCGATCACTATGCAGAAGCTAGCAATGCACACAAGTGATGGGTGCGGTTGGCATAGATCGGTGAGAAGTATCTAAATATTGACTGAGTACGAGGTCAATATAGGAAATAAAAGCTGAGGTTTTTATTTCCTATACTGACCAAGTACGAAGTCTATAATTATTAGATTTATCACGGCAAACAGTCCGTATTTCAAATTCCAGAACGATAACCTCATGAATCCCGGTTTTATGATTGCACAACCGTTGCACCACCACCTACTCATGCAGTGACAATGCTGCACTAGGCACCGTTCAACTGCGCAACCCCTAAGCAGTCAAATGTAAGCAGTCAATATAGCCCTAAGGAGTGAAATATGCAGGAATATTTGACAACTTAGGTATGGCAAAAATCTATGTGAGTCAATACTAAGGGAGTGATAAGGGTAGGTTATGCATGAAAGAGCTCCTCTTTACAATACACAGTACTGTGCATGCAGTGTAACGTTCAGGGTATGTGCTTCAAGGTATCTCAAGGTATACATAACACTTAACCGTTCGTCCCCGTCTTGCAGTTTGCTTTTGCTGGTTGCTAGTGAGTGTTGGGTCTCTACACTAAAGCTGCGTGTACGGCCTCACGCAGTCCGCGATGATGAGAGTTTCATCCACTGCCAGCACTCTTCTGCTGTGTATTAGTATTTGTCTTTATCCCTTGGCGTCTGGGGAGAGCGTATCCGAAAACGTTAACACGACGACGGAGTATTTCGTTAGCAACTTTTGTTCAGCTCAATCAAAGGGTTCTGGAAATGAGAAGAATTCTGAAGGATTTACCTCACTTCTCCGACCGCTATGTACGTTGTTCTTCTGTTCGGTAAAGGAAATGTTTTCACCATTGATGTCAAATAACGTGAACAAGTTCTCCCAGTCACCTATAGCGCGCTTTGTGCATACTGTTCTCCCGCTGTTGTTGAAAATATTCGCCAACAAAATGCCGGTTGATCCGCTCATTTGTGACAAGCCAGCGGGACGCATAGGGATGTTTCGTACTCTGGTCCATGCCTTCCATACCAACCTAGCCCGGAGCTTGCTTCGTGTCGGTGTGGTCTCTGATAAGGTGTGCCGTGCAGAGGAATACGGAAGGAGCGAGGCGTAGACATGTTGGCACTTAGTCGCCAATAACACAACGTATATGCTGCTGATGCGCGATTTTGGCTCAACCTCGTTGCTACATTTACCCCGGTATGGCAGGTTCTATTCAGCCAAGCAACATCTTACGTGAAGATCTCCAAGTCCTTGGACATCCTCCTAGAAAATTCAGGCAAGGCAGTGTTGAACTCGTGCTGGGAACCTGAGTTGAAGGCGTTGCTGGTGGTATACAAGTCGCATGGGAAATGGGACATTAGCCCAGAATGTATTACCATACTGCCTCAGGTTTGCAAACGGATTGTGGATAAAGCGATGAATTCCATCTTCGCACTTTTGAAGAGGGAACGCAAGCGTGACAGTATCACGTCTGTACCCGGTGTCACAGGAAAAACCGAAAACAACTTCATCAAGATAATTTTTACGGCTGTCCGAATTCTTTCCAGCATTGTACACAATGTACTCCGACGTCATTTACCAGAAATTTATCTACCCTATGTTTTCACGTTTTGCAAAGATCGTTTTTGCGAGGAAACCTAGGAAATCTTTAAATGTCGTGATCTCATGCAAAGGCCTAAGGGGAACACGGAGAGACATCGTCAGCAATCTGATAGATCTCTTGCGCTTGGTAATTGTGAACGAGTTGCAACGTTCCATTACATCGTCTGAGATTTTTTTTCGCTTCTTGTTTCCTATTTTCAATATATTACTTCCTTGCCTCGTTTCCTCAGCTGTTTGACATTCCCTTCTCGAAACTAGAATACACTAGGTTTTCATCACACGTGTCTTCACCAATACACATCTTGAAGATCACGATTTCCTCACGATTTCCTTTCACTTATCTACAAGTTAGGGTCTTGTTACTTGTACAGGTCAGGCTGGCCAGAGATGGAATATGATGGAGGTGAAACTATCTCATTGATGAACACGCCAAACGTTGCTGCTTCTCGTTATCAGTTTGTTCGTTTCATTTTTTGGCTTTTCCTTTCAATTGCTTTGCATGGTCTATTGGATTTCAAATTTATCTTGGACCGCGACAATGTCATTCTTCAAGCATTATAGTATTTCCTCTGGTCCTTAGTTGAATGGACAGTAACTACAGCATTTCATAGTTTTTCTAAATTGTCATGCTCAGTTCGGTGACCTTCAATGTACCGTGTTTGTCTCCCAGACTGTATCCGTTGACAGTTGTATTGATGTTATGCTGATCTACTCGCAATAGACAAGAAAGGAATTGGTCACACTAGTTGCAGCTATTGATGTGTATCTATATTCATTACGTCATAGTTGTACTGCATGCACGCACACACACGGATTAGTTGAGTGTGCTTCTTGTTTCCTGTTGTTCTTTCTCATGACATGTTTTGTTTCCGTTCCCAAGTCTTCACGAATAAAATTAATAGTAACGTATCATGGCGCAGTGAACTTGTTCTTTCCTGTGTCCGTGCCTTGTGTCCGCACCTTGTAGTGTTTGCACGGGCCCAGTTGTTTTTTCCGTATGAAGTAGTAGTTTCCGCGATCGAAACTCTGTCTCAGTTGAATTATTTTAGTAGTGTATTTGTTCGTACTCGTGGACGAGTGACTAATC